ACCGCTTATCGAAAGTCACATGAACCAAACCGAGTAAACCAAAGACACAGTTTTAGTTGGATGTGGTCATTCTCTGCTTAGCCAGTGTTTTCTGAACTCTAAACGACAAAACCTTTCTGTTAACCAAACAAACAAAAACATGGTTTTTCATTAACTTTTTAAAATATGGTATACTATTTTGTAATTGTATTATAAGCAATACAAAGTCATTCAGCAGGGTGATAGATTATTTTATTTTATTTTTTTTTACCAAGTATAAACCATAATATTCGTAAAAAGAGGTACATAAGGCATGTGAGACTATTGTAAAGGGACAATTAGTTGAGCTGCAATGAGCAAAAGTTTTGAAACCCTAACCCTAATCATATTCAGATTTGAGCCTCATACAACCTGATTATCCATTTGGTGTATAAAATGTTATTTTAAAAAACAGCGTTTTAGCTAATTAACTACATATTAAAGCTGTAATAAGGTTAGGAAAGCTATACAAATAGCAGCACAAGAATATTTTAATTTATTTGAACTGTTTTAGATTTTCCCATTTTAGTCTCTCTCACAGTGTTACTACCACTACCCTTAACGTTTCGGTCACTAAAATCTGTATCAAGTGTGAACGAAATGGAAACTGCCAAATTACATGTTATATTGACACTTGAAATGTAAAAGCGTTTGTGATTACAAACACTTTGCATTTCAATTGAGATTTCATGCATTATGCAGCCTACGCTAAATCTTATTGACGATTGCTTCTAAAACATACTCTACCCAATTTTTGTGTTCAATCCAGTTTTTCTTCCCAGCAGAATATTTTACCCCGAAAATGGAGTTCGGAAAAAGCTGCTGTTCAAAGCAGGTGTTAAATTACTCACCACAGAATTGCTTTCTGATTGTCCATATTTTCTGTAATCATTTAAAAAGAAGAGTGTGAGAAAAAAAAACAAAAAACAAAGAGCCGAATCTATTATCATCACTGTTTGGCTTTTATCGGTTGTAGCATAATCGCTCAGCAGATTTCAGCAGCGAGAGTTTCACGATTGAAATTAACCTTCCACCGGCAGCGGAGAAGAAAAGACAATTAGAAGATAGACAGAGGGAGACGGGAAGACATGTGGATGCACAGGTTGTCTGATTGCATGTGACACAAGCAATCAGATAAAGGAACCGGAAGGAGGGCGATGACAGCTGCAGTTCACCCCCCACCCCCCCGCGTCCATCTCTCTCCAGAACCCGCGGGTCTGAGGATCCAGCCTCAAGTGCTTCATCTCGTGGATTCATCCAAAGCCTGCGTAAGGCTCTTAGTTGGCTGAGGGTGTCACTGATCCCCGCTCATCTCTCGATCATTAGTAGAAAAAAAAAAAAGCACTACTGAGACCCCGGTGACCTAAATCACCTCTCTGCAGCCGTGTAAGACTGAGCTGAACGGATAGGCGACACGCCCCGGGATATAGCTGGATTTGGCTTGGTAACTTAACTCTTTTTATCTCTTTCTTCCCTCCAACTCCTCTTTTCGCTTCTGCAGTGGGCCATTGTCTGTATTATGGCTCTGCTTATTAGCCAGAAAGTGTTGCCCTCTCTCTTTTTTTTCCCCTCAACTCCCCCATCCCTCCCAGGTTAATGAGCCACAGGACTCTCCCTCTCTTTCTGTCCAGCTTCTTTCCCCACTCCCTCTTCCTGCCTGCATCTCTTTTCATTTCACGCTGCATTTTATCCTTTGTTCCCAAGGTGCAGTTAGTGTTGTTTTAGATCCTTGGGCACAAAAGAGATAACTCAGAATGGCCATTGAGACGCGCACCGATTTATTCGTTTTGAACTGGGCCGTTGGAGCTGCGATGTCGATGGGTTATGCGGTGTTGTAAATTAGCAATTTACCAAAGTGATCAAGCATTTCATTATGAAAGCAAAGCATTGACTCAAATCACTGGGATGCATTCCAACAAGAAAGCTAAAAGTATGCATCTGTCAGGCTTTGCAAAGCCGCATGAACACCTATGATGGACGGATGACAACAGATTTCTCGTCTCCATGCCGTTTCTTTACATGAGATTGGAAATGGCAAGGGGATGAGAGTCTTGTAACTGGAAGCCTGGACACAAGTTACCAAGGCACAGTTTGGAGAACAGTTGATCAAAACTTCCCAATAAAAAATATTTCTTACCTGGCGGGTTGCCCAGATTAAATTAATGAACCCTACCTACTCAGCAGTACTAGAAAAAGGTAAATGACAACAAAGTGGTGGAATGTATCACATTCTGCAAACCTTAACTACTTATGTTTAGTTCAAAGCAGGTACATTCTTTCTATGTTAGCAGAAAACACAGTTAGTCCCAGTTTCACAGATGGCGGGATGTTTGTTAAGCGGCTGACTGCAGTGTGGCTGTTTCAGCAGATAGCCTGACTAATCAACCAGCTTGCTGAGCTCAGCAGAGTGGACTTCTAATACTCAAACTATTAAGAAATTTAGTTGATCTCAATTCTGTGTTTACACTCTGGTCTGCAGATCAACATATCAATAGACAGTTTTAAATTATTTGAACTCTCATGTCACGTCATTTTTGTGCACATGCTGCAAAAATGTCTTTTTATCCTTCTGTGAGCATTTATGTAGTACACAGACATATCTGACATATTCAGAAAAGGTCAGCCTCTTGGCTACTGGCAGTCTTTGAAATATCCACTCTTTGTTAAACAGTTACAGTGATTCCTCTCCTGCGGTTTTCCTCTAAAGATTTTCTTGCTCATTGTTTTATCTTAAGTTAAGTGTGTTTTTTATCGTGCATCTTTGCGCTTGCTTTTGTGGCTCCATAGAGGGGTCAGTAGCGCGTGGCCATGGTTTGCTCAGTGGGTGGTTTAAAACAGCCAGCCTGTTTGCCTACCAAATAGCCTTTGATGGGAAGACTCATTTACATGGCAGGAAACAGATCAACTTGGACGTCCACCTTGCCATGCAGAGAGTGGAGACTGAGAGGTGCACATATCGTGTGCATGCGCGTGTTTATGCGAGACAAAAGCGAACCTGTAGTCTCCTTTTAGAGTTGGGCCTGGCGACAAACAGTTGCGTGCAAGTATGTGTCAGGGTGTTTATGAAGACATGTGTGCTGCGAGGTGTGAAGCGATTGCAGGAATCTTCATGTGAAATGAAGAGGGGAGACGGGCTAAGCTCCTTATTTTTACAGCCAGGCACAAAAGTCTGATGCCACCATCGGAGTATGCGTGTGTTTTCAGGATGTGTGAGAGCACGGCGCATGCCTGCGGGCCCACTGTACACTTCAGCTGGTTTCCTCCTCAGCTTGGTGACAGAGAGTCTGCTGTGGTCACTTCTTTACTTATTAATAGGTTCGTGACACATGATTTAGCATGCAGGTCATCTCTTACTATTTAGATATTACGGTAGAAGTAATGACAATTGTATTGTGTGTGTGTGTGTGCTGTTTCTTAGTCATTTAGAAATTTAAAGAGCAAATTCTGTTTCTGGAAGCTCTTATAGAGCTTTTTATTTAAATTATTGTCTTTGGTTTGGAGTCCTTCAAAAACTAATGAAATACTAAAAGAATAATAATATGAAAATGTTTAAAACCCTGCATTACACTGGAAGTAGTTCAAAAAAATTTAATAGAGACCACACAAACCTTTATTGGTATATATTTTTTAAATTTTTCTTTTTTTTTTTTTAACAAAAAATAGATAAAAGAATATGGGACATGACTTGGTGTGCAAAGCCACCTCATACCATTGACTTTGCTGTCATTAAGTAACTTTTCTAGCTAATTTGTCAGCATGATTAGCTTGTCAAAAAACTCATTCAACCCCAAACTTTAACTTGCTTTCAGCTGTGTCAGGATGTTGCTTCAATATTTCCACATAACATCCTCTCTTCATAATATTTTGTAAAGTACACCAGTTCCTCCAGCAGCAAAACGTCCCCACAACATGATGGTCCCAGTCTCTTATGTCACAGTAGGTATGTTACTCTTGGGCTTTCAAACTTCCCCTGTTTTATTTCAAATATGTTACTGGGCCTTATGGCCGAACACTTTAATAAACACAAGAAATTTCTCCAAAAGCTAAGGTTGTTGTCAAATCGAATCAAAACGGAAGTACAACAAAGAGCATGCTGCCTTAATTGATTTTTAAACAACAAAAAAAAGTAGGACATTTTGTTTTTTATGCTATAAATGAACATCAGAACATCAAAACAGTCCCAGATTTCTCAGTTTTTGACCTCCTTCACTTTGATAAGAAAAAGCTACATTTTTCAGAAACTATTTCATTTTTTTAACGTTCTACTGCATTTCCTACTACGATGACAATTACAACAAGCTCTTAACTTGTTTCGGTTATGATGTGTTTGACAGGTAAAGCGTCGCTGAGACAACAAGAACAAGTGGTGCCATAACACTCAATACAAATATTAAAACAAAACAAAAATAAACAAACTAACAAAAAAAAAACAAAAAAAAATCAGTGACAGGAAACAGAGGAGATTATCCCGGGCTTTCCTATTTCCCTGAGTTTGCTTAAGTAATCACCTCCTTTAAAAACAAAGTAGTGTAATGCACTGCGGCTTTGCATATGTGGTCGATCCCAAACGGCTGGTTCAGACAACACAGGGAAGGGTGGTTTGATAGGCCAATGAAAGGATGTGCAAACTTAACTAAGTGCTTTAAGCAGTTAAAGCACTTAGGGTTGTTGACATAAAGAGGAAAAACCTCAGAAAAGACTCGCCTGGGAGGCATCGTAATTCAGAGCTCGATTCATTTGTATGTGAATACTATCTATCTATCTATCTATCTATCTATCTATCTATCTATCTATCTATCTATCTATCTATCTATCTATCTATCTATCTATCGTAGCTGTATGTTTTTTTGCACCCTGGAATCAGGATTGTTCAAGTATGCAATTAAAATCCAGGTTCAATATGACGTTCATGCTTATCAATGCGAGCTTCTAGTGGCACGTTAAGAATGATCATCATTTGTTCTGTTCCCCGTCTTCTCCAGGCAGCCAGGCAGAATGTCAGTGAGGGGCTTGGACCCCGCCTGTCCCACCTCAATAAAACGGGAGCCCTCCAGCCCCAGCCCCAGCTCTCAGGGCGACGCCAGCCCAGCTCAGCCCAGTCCAGGTAGCTCCTCGTCGGATACAAACTCCAGTTACGGTCTCCTCACCAAGGGCCTCAGTCACAACAACGGGCTGGACTCGCCGAGCCTCTGTGGTCACGCGGCCAGCTTGGCCAACAACGGCGGAACCACCAGGTTGGGTGTTTAAATCGATTTTCAGCTTGTCTCGCGTGTTGTGCCACGAGCGCCGACTGAACGCACTTCTCCTCACCTCTCCACTTTCATTCAGGAGGTTTGGGGATGACGAGGGCCAAGTGAAGTGTGAGTTCATGCTGGGTACTGTGGCGAAGCGGGTGTGTCTGGTGTGCGGTGACGTGGCCTCTGGCTATCACTATGGTGTGGCTTCATGTGAGGCTTGCAAGGCCTTTTTCAAGAGGACCATCCAGGGTAAGTGTCAAAAAAAGAAAAAAAAATCTCCTACATATTCATGCAAAGAAAGATGCTCGGTTTTATAGTTTATTGTGCATGACTGGTAATGCTTTCTTGCATCATATAAACCTGTTTCACTAGCAGCATGGCACAGATGGAGTTATACCCCAAGCTTTTGTTGTGGTGTAAACAAGCCCCGATCAGTTAATTCATAGCTTCCGCCTCCCACTTTTGCAAACTGCAGAAAGGCTTTAAATAAAGATCTGTTTGCAAACAGCTGATATGTGGTTAAACTTGCTGGACATTGTGTGTATAGTCAACATGTTGGGGGTTGCGGGCTTTCAAGCAGCAGATAGCTGAGCTGCCTAGTGCTAAATGTGTTCGCTCTGACTTCTCCACGGAGCTGAGAACTGAAAGCGCACAGTGTGGGTGTTTTAAAGGGATTGTCCTGCTCTCTGTCGGCTCTGGGCCCAGGTCGAGGACCCGGTGTGCCTCGTCTTGTTAAGAGCTCTGGAAGTTGGCTGCCGCAGAAAAGTTCAAAGGGTAGACTTGAGCGGCTTTCAAATCGGACAGAGAGAGCTGATGTCTGGCTCGTCAGAAACTTCCTGTTTCTAATGGAGGCTGGCAGTTGAGATGGCCTGTACTGGCTCAATGCCATCAGGCTTAGCCGGAAACATTGGCTGGTTGATAAAATTTCAATTTTTTATTGAGAATATATTCAACTTTTTCAAATACTCCCAATAAATCCCAGTTTCAGTCTGAGTATGAAAGTTCCCCGAAAAAGAAAATGGAGTTTAGATGCCAAGACAATAAACTCAACAGAAAAAAAAAAAGCAATTTTTTTTTTTTTCTGTAGACTATTGTTTGGTTGTACAAACCGCTGGTAAGACTAGTTTAGGTAGCTGTTTCCACATAACTGACAACCACTTTTTTTTTCTTACCTGTCCCTCTCTTTCCCTCTCCAGGTAACATCGAATACAGCTGCCCAGCTTCCAACGAATGTGAAATCACCAAGAGAAGGAGAAAATCCTGCCAAGCCTGTCGATTTGTGAAGTGTCTGGCAGTGGGCATGTTGAGAGAAGGTCAGCTGTGCATTAAAGTGACTTGCTGTTCGCTTCACTGTGATAGATCTGATGGGAAATCTGGCAGGGGGCTTCAGTCTCGTCCTTATAGACTTCTGACATGGAGAGAGAAGGCCACTGTGCCTGTGCTGTAGCTGACTTATCTCCATTGACAGTGAACTGAAAGCACCCTCGTGTTGCCATATATAATATATGTGTGTGTAGGTCAGCGTACGTGGAGTAAACGCAGCACTGCACGATGAGTAACAGGGCTCTTATCGGTTCAGCCATGTCCCTCTTTGCTGTGCAGGGCCTCCAAAATAGTTTCTGGACTTTTGCCAATTTGTGAAGGTGTCATGGCAACATTCCAGCACCAAGAGAGATATTTGGGGGGAAGCTTAGTCATTATGTATTTAGTTGAAAAGGGGTAGATTTTTTTATTTTATTTATTTTTTTGCCACAATGACCAGAAGAATAGTTAAGTTTAGGCTAACAACCAATGTGATCAATCATGGTGGTAGCAGTATCACGCTGCGGGTCAGTTTAGCTACAGATTGATCTGATGCATTGCACCAAAAGGAAGGATGCAAATTATTGAACACCTTCTCAAATTAACAGATGCATGGTTAGGGGTGCACAAAGGAGACAAAAACAAATTTCAGAAATGTCCTTCCTAAAGTTCCAACCTGAACCCAATTGAAAATCTTTGTAGTGTGCCAGATTTATTCCAGAAACATTTTGATGGCTACAATAAATTTTTTTTTAAAACCCGCTTTCTACTATGAAACTTTATCACGTCTGGATAAATATTTGAAGTGGGTCTGTGCACATGCCGCAGATAGTCTCCTTTAGTCTGCCTGTGTGCCTGCTGCCTGGTGACATATTGTTGTCCAGATTTAGAAGTGACTCACAGAGGAAAACATTAGCAGCCTCCTACTGTACTGGCCACTTGTCTCCTGCTGTGTGCAGCTTAGGAGAGTTACCAAAGAGGAGAGCGGAGATAAAACACCTGAGTGTGTAAATGTTGAGCAGTTTGATCTCAGGAAAAATCCCGAATTTATTACGAAAGTAAAAGCCTGTCAGTTTATGCTAAGTGACTGATGTCTGCAAATCATGATGTGTGTAAATAATAAGTAAAGTAGATAATGTAGGAAAAATTAAAATAGCACATTAAGGTATCCTGCACTTTACTAGACCTGTTTCACAATGTTTTCAACATTTTCTACTTTTCTGTGCTCTTTTTTTTTTTCTCCATTTTTTTTCTCAATTTTTCAGCTAATGTCACCTTCGGGAAATGTTTGTGTAAGATATGGTCCGGTCCTGTTTTTGTTTTTGGTTTTGTTTCGATCGTAATATCTGAATTGAAGTATTTCCCCATCACAGATCTTACCCGTTCAGGTGACTTTTACCGAAGTGCTTGGAGTTGTTTAGGTGCTGGTGTTGTGATTAAACCACATCGTTTAGTCACCACCCTGCCAAGAAGAAGTTGTTTCTCCAAAAACAGCTTCTAAATTAGGTTACAATTTATAATACAATATACAAAACATACGTTCATGAGCTTTCAGTTTCTTTCAAGGTGTTATATTGAATATAATTAAAACACAACCACGTACTTTGGATTTATAAAATACACAGCTGCATTAGTCTGGGATTTTATTGTCCCTCTTTGGGGATTTTAAGTGAAGTTTTCTTACGATAGTAGCTCCAGATTGTCTTATTGATTTCGGCACAAATCATTTCAGTTCTAAAGCCTGACATGGATTGGCTTTTCTCAAAAGGAGCGTGCTAACTAGAGTACTTGACCAAAGTCATGACTCAAACTGGAGGTTATAAACCTTTTATATGGAGAAAGTTAAAGCTCAGTTTGTAGCCATTTTTCCTCAGCTGTTCTTCAATAAGAAACACAGTTCTAGTTTTACCTCCTAAAGACACGTTCACAATTTCTGATAGTCTCGAATTTTTGTGAATGTTTTGAAAGTGAGCAACCCCAACTGGTGTAGACCTGAAAGAGGTTTTATTATTTCCTATTTGGACCTAAATGTGCAGCAGCATCTTCCAGCTGCAGCATGTATGTGCACAGTGAGTTATAGATGCAACCAATTATAGCACGTTTACACATTTCCGTGTACGTTTAAACGCCTCACCAAGATCTCAGATCCGCACTCACACCTCGGTGTGTTTTCCACAGTGCTATCTTTTTCTATATTAGCTGCTTTTAATAGGGTTGAGGCATCAACAGCATCCCACCTCTCTCAGCCCCCCCTTTGGTTCGTCCCCCTGCCTCATAAATTCCTCCAGATGCCTTGTGGGATTCCTGGACCTCCGTGAAACGCGAACTGCCCCTCGTAACTCCTGTCGTAAGCGCCCTCGTAATGCGCTTCATCGTGTCTCGTAATGCCCCTCTCCCCCTGGAGAGGCCGCAGTAAACAGAGACAGAGGGAGCTGTGAAGTTTAATGAGGAGAGTCAGAGCCATATTAAAAGAGCAGCTAAAAGACATATAGACCCCAGGCAGGATTTGATTAAGCCCCGTTTAGGTAACTGTTTCCACAGAAGCTTTCACTTTCCTAGGACAATAGGACCATGGTTGCAAAATAAAGACAATATATCCTTCCTCCTCTTCTAGTTGTATTAAAGTTGCGCAGTTTGTACATAGAGATGGTTCAGACCCTACACACCATTTACATCAGCCAATAAGAAGCTATCTGTTGTATATCGGATGCCACTAAGGTGTGGAGACTACCACAACACAGCTGCACACTCCAAAGTATTTTTGTAGGATGTTATGTGACAAAACAACACAAAGTACAACTGTAAAGTAAAAAAAAATATATTATTTTTAATATTATTTTATAAGTGAATGCCATTTCATTGTGGTATTCACTGGATGGTTGGAGTTGTTGTCTTTATGGAAGGAGAATCTCAGCTTCATCTGCATCCCCGCATTAAGACGCGGTCTCCTCCACGTTGGCGTTGTTGGTTCCCTGCCACATGTTGCATTTCGTATATTGGCAAAAAAAACTAAGTTTGGTTTTAATCTCATCTGACCAGAGCACCTTCTTCCACATGTTTGCTTTGTCCTGTCAGTTTCGAAGGATGGATTTATCTGCGTAGGTTTGCACCAATGAACAGTTCTCTGTGAGAATGTGTCATTTTGGATTAATCTAACCCTTAGGTGACTTCTGAACTCAGTCATTTGTTCAGGATCCTTTTTTAAGAGAAACAGAGAATGAATATAAATTCAGAATACCTTTTGGGTATTTATTTGTAGCAGAAATTGAAAATCATGCATTCTTTTCTCTTCCCTTTAAGTTGCAATAAAACAGATGCGAGCTTGAGGAAGCAACGTGACAAAAAGTGTAAAGATTTAGGATGCGGTAACACTTTAAAAGCCGTATATGTGTCGCCACATCTGAGATGCGTGGGATTGTTTGTGGTGGGAACATGGAGGCAGTGGCGATGGAGGTGGAGAACAGGCTGAACTAGATGAGTGTATGCTGTGGGACCTGTTTTCTAGACCAGAAAGCTTCTTTTGTGGAAATGCTGTAAGAATGGCTGTGTTATGATGAATGTGGCTGTCCTTATCAAACGCTGATGGGCAGTCCAGAAGAACAATGAGGTAGTGTGTGTGTGTCTCTCTCTTGTTATCCACCAAAGCTATTCTTGGCCTTTTAGTTGTCAGCACATTCCACTATGAAACATTATACTTAGTTTTGACATTATCTTCTGTCATAGCAGAACACAAACACTTGAATAAAACTTAGTTCGCCTGTAACTCAAGCACTCAGCAAATACGAAACAAACAGTTTGGAAGCTAATCCACATTAAATGTTCAGCTTATAAATCATTTCTTTAAATTCAAAATTAGTCAAGTTAATATTTGGCAATGAAGAGCTAATACTTGTCCAATTGCTTAGCATGTTAGCCTTCTACACTTTAAGGCTATGCTTACACGAGACCTCTGTTTGGAAGCTGCTGGTATTTTCGAATGTTGACTGGGAAAAAGTTTCACGTTTAGACAATAACGCCAAGTCGCCTTAGATCTGCTGTAGTTGTAGTTGGGAGATATACGGCGCCGTGATTTTAGCATCTCATCAAAACACTGTGCCAATCAGTACAGTCTCCAGTCCTCAAACCCTAAATGATGTCAGATCATCAAAAGATTAATTAAATATGGGGAAAGTGAACACAAGAAAAGAAGAGAATGTAGAGAAAATCATTTTTACTGTGAAGTGGCTTAAATACGCTAAATATTGTGACAATTTTTTTTACTTTAAGCAAAGAGCCTCATATGCAAGAGATACATTTCTGCTGGTTAAGTTTTAAAATATGAAAGTATGGTTAAAGGAGCACTGCATTTGATTTAGTGACAACTAGTAAAGAAGCTTCCCTCTATAAATGTTCATCTTTCCTGTGTGTATCAGAAACAATATTGGGCACCCATAATACAAAATATATAAATAGAAACTTAAGTCTCTGTTTAGGTTGAGTGTTCGGTTGGCTCTGGGAAAAATGGTAGCACATCGTGCTTATTCAAGTTGTTAAACTATTTACAAAACTTACTTCAACGACAACACGATTATGACTTCTTGGTATCACATCTGTGTCTTTTAATCCCTAAATTATTCTCAATTATTGGTTTCTGCATCGAGGCTTCCAGTTATATGATGCCAGTGCGGCAAGTGATGAATAGCCATTATTTTCTATTTTGGTTTCACAACAGGCTGTAATGGATACAATATGTGTCACTAACTGCTCGTTTACATAAACAACAAGAAAACAATTAAAGTCAAGAACTCTTTGTGCTTATATTAAATAATTTCTGTCTCAAAAAAAAAAAAAGTTATTTTAAACACCGGTCCTCAGCATCTTTCATGTTTTAAAACTTAAATTTGACATAAGTACATTCAAATTCATGGCCTCGCTCAGATTTGAAACTTAACTTGTTTAAAGCTAAGGGTTTATTGTGGGATCCGTCGGATTTGACAAAAGCTTAAATGTAACAAGTGTCTGCATGTAAAAGTCTTATCAAAAGGATTTAGATCTGTTTTATGGTCCTGTCTGTCTTTGGACAGTTGATTTGATTTATTCTTATTTCATAAACTTAGAGATTTTTTTTCATTCTAAAACCTAAGGATTGAAAGTCAAGGCTCTTTCATTTAACCACAAAACAAAACAGAACTAACAGCTGTCAGTGTACATTTTGCTGACCCTTTGGCAAGTGGAAGCGGAGAGGTTATGACTCCTGATCAGACTTATATAACTCTCAGAGACCTCCTGCAGGTAGATATCATTGATTGGTGAAACGTAGCCCTATTTAAGTGGATTATAAATGTGACAGTTCAGGAAACGTGAAGCTGTTACAAAGCAAGCGGGACACTTAAAATAAAACTCTTAAAGATGAGAAAGGCAGCTGAAGAAAAGGTTTCTGTTCAAAAATATTAAAAATATTGGGTACGTTTTAAAAAGTGACCAAAATCTGACAACAATTTGAAGAATCAGAGCTTGCAAACCAACAATACGTTAGTTTTGTTTCTGTGGCAGCAGTCATATTTACTAAACAGCATTCTGCTGCTTTATGGCCACCTCACCTCAAGTAAAGATGTCTTTAAAGCCTCAAAAATAAATTAAGCTTTTATTGCAGCAACAAAAATGACTTTACTTTTATGACATTTGTGCAGTGAAAGTCCAGCTAAAAAACAATATATATATATATAAAAAAACCATTTTGTTCCCAAATGTTGTCATACCCAACAATTTCCATCAAATAAATGTAACTGAAGCATATTTTATATACATTTTATTTTTTCTAATGAATTTTATTTATTCGCGACCTGTTTCTCCTTGGCAAACAGGCATGCTTATCTTATGTGTTCTTCAAAATGGCAAAGACAAGAGAACATGGCATTCTAGTCAGGCAGCTGCATTGAACTTAATGAGTCAGGAAATCTGAATATGTAGATTATTTTTTTTTAATTTAGATTTAATTCATAATGGGATCTTCAAAGATAACGATGATTACACGTTTTATTTCTCAGGAAAACATATATTCTTTTTAAGTGTTCTGTACTTGTCATAAGGGTTGTGAGGCACATAATTCATACCAGCACTGTTATCCACAATCCCCTCTTGCATTTAATATCTGTTCATGGGACATTAACTGATAAAGCATTATATCAAATTTATAGTTGTAGTAATGGCAGACGTATGAAATAAAACAAAATAGCTTTACAAGTCAATGGCACAGAACTGATAAAACCCCACAAATCTTTACAGGCCTGATTAAGAAGACACTTTTTTTTTCTTTTTTTTTTTGTTCCTTAATTTTTGTTGCATGCTCTGTGAAAATATCTGTACAAGTCAGAATAATAAGTTAAAGGGATGGAATATTGCTGGGAGGTGTCAAGAGGGGAAATAATAGCCTCAATGTGTCTCTTTACAGATGCCATTATAGATCTGTTCAGGGACACTATGGCTATTTACACTCTGCAGACCCAGAAACCCAACACCACTACTGAAGGCTTCCTGAGTCACATTCACACCCCCTGCATAAAGCATTTTCTCCGCAGTTGGTGAGACTCACAGTGTGTCTGTTCCTCCGCTGTGAACATGACCGGCCTCTCCCCTGGCTGACACACACACACACACACACACACACACACACACACACGCACTCCTAAATCTCCGTCATCACGTTGTCGCAGTGCTTGTTAAGATGAGCATTTGTCACCGGCCCCTCCGAGGTTTTCAGGTGTCATCTTACAGGACGCATGTTGCCGCTCCAGCATTTGGCCCGTCCCGTCCTGTCCGGTCTCCTTGAGATCGGCAGCGCATGTGGGCTGTTGACTGGACAACATCCCGATGGTTTACTGGGTTTAACGTGGGAGCCGTTCGCTCGTTGACCGACTGGTTTAAATGTCGCATCAATGTCAAACGCTGCTCTGGCTCCAAATGGGACAGAGTAAGCAATGTTGAAGACGTTTGAAATCATAGTGAGCCTTGAATTTGGATGATCTTACTATATATGTAAGTTGCTCAATTTTAAATATCTTTTGAGAAATTTTCTGGAATTAATTTACAATAAATTTATTTATCAGAAAGGAAGAAAACTTTTGACAAAAAATAATTTAGGTGAATTTAAATAAATTTGACTATAATCAGTGTTCAAGCGATATATTTCAAGTGTTTATTTCTGTATATCTTGATAATTATAGCCATAAGAAAAGGACATGAATTGAAAGTTTAGTGGAAAGAAAAAAAATGTAGAAAAAAGTTGTAGACATCACCACAACCTGGAGTAAATTAGTCAATTCAAGAGTCACCTCACACAAACCTTTGTAATTAACTTGTCTTGTGAAAATAAACAGTTTGTTTAGTGGTGCAAAGATATACATTTACTTTTCATTTGCTTGAAGTCCAGCATGAAATTTACACAGTTAGTGAGGATTTGATGAGCCATCCCCTCTGCTGGTCTCGGTCATCTGTTTATGTTCAGTTTCCAACTTGTGACAAGCTTTATGGAGATAATCATGGATTTAAAAAAAAAAAAAAATTTAGCAGAACATTGGACCTTTCCAAAGTACCTACTTTAATGACCACGGCATGACTGTGACTGATTTAAGAGGAAGACGAGAAACCCCCAAATGCGTACAAATGCATATGAACTGAACTAACAAACCATGCCACAGTTCACGTGGAAGAAGACAAAATATACTGGATGTACTTATCAAGAGTGCAACATTTCTATGATAAAAATGTTTCTTGTTGAGCTTACAAAACATTACAAATATCTGAAAATGGGAGTGTTTGGTTTTCGTGAACTGCCATCCATATTAGCAGAAATAAACACTTGAAATATATAGCTCTGTGTATTTTCAAACATTTCCTTTCAATGATATTCCAGTGTATTGGGGATGCACCTGTATGGATTGTTTTATTTACTGTACATGTAACATTATCATATGAGGGCCCCGAGTGTTTGTGTATTTATGTTTTTGTGGTGTGGCTAAGCAAACATCGTCACTAACATCCTGTGATGATGTTTACATCCGTAGGCGTGCGCCTGGACCGGGTTCGAGGAGGCAGACAGAAGTACAAGAGGAGAATAGATGCTGAGAACAGCCCCTATCTGCACCCACAGAACAGCTTGCCACAGAAAAAAACATGTAAGTAAAAAAGGAATGGGAAAGTTGTTCCTCTGATTTCATAGACCTTAATTAAGGTTAGATGAGCTCCAAGTTTTGTTTGTGCTTAAGACTTAGCAACAGCCAGGCCTTTGAACTCTGGGAAGCCACCGTCACTCTCTTAACAAATTTAGATTTTTACGTGAGAACAGCTTTGTGTTTTACGTTTAAGACAAAGGCAGAGGCACTTTCCATTGAAATTGTTCCCCTTTCTTCCTCCTGGAGAGATAGTTTATATAAGAAAATGAACTAACATAACACTAGATACAATAGCTTCTGTATTTTACTTGATTTGTCAAATGAAGTCATTATAAAATTAAACATTTTTCAGCTAAGGAAAAAAAAGTGGCTTGAGGGTGATTTCATCAATAATTGTTTGTCTTTCGTCTGACAATCATAAGAACAAACGAATGAGAGTCGATGACTGGAGCAGCCAGTTGCTACAGGAAGGACTATCAGGATAGCAGAAAATGTATTTTCAAGTGACTGATCAGCAGGCCCAACGATTTTGCATCAGTCATTACATTTACATGTACAGTTTAGTCAAGGTAGAGTCGGAGGTCAATCAGACCATCAATCTGCACTACCGTTGTTTTCTCAAGCTCCATTTCCTGCTGCTAAGCTCCCTTCCAGTTCTTTAGTCCTGCATGTCTTCTGGTTATTAGAAGCCTGAACTCTGCTGGTGCCCTAGAAAAATGGGAAGTTTCAGGGATTCCTGTACATAACACACACGCACACACGCACGCACACACACTCATCACAATGTGGAAACCACCATCCTGTGCGGCATTTCGTCCCCTTTATGCAGGTGACAACTCTGACATGTCCTGTGTGTCGCCAGCTTGGGGCTATTCTTTGTTTTGGCACCAGTTTGGTGGCAGCAGGTGAAATGATTGAATCGGTCTTTCCCTTGAATGTGCCTTGTTTTAACAGAATTTTGTAGAGCTTTGGCTGTATGTCTATGATCACTGTCATTCTGCAAGGTGACTGTCCAGACCCAGTCAAGTTTTTGAAGTTTTTAATGTTTTGTTTTTTGTTTTTTTCTTTCAAATATGGCGCTGACACTTTAGCTTAGCTGAATGAAGCTCGATTGTCGGCTCCTTAGCAAAAGTTTCGAAGGCTAATACTAGCCGTGTTTCCATTAACCGTAGATTTGTGCAAATTGAAATTAAAAAAGTAAATTTGCTTAATGGAAACATGGCAATTTTGAAAAAAATAAAACCTCAAATTTTTTGATAAAAATTGTTTGAGCTAGGATGAGGTGTTTTTTTTTTTTTTTTTTTTTTGGCTATATCAAAATAGATGTATTTTGCAAAACTGTAATGAAAACACTTTTTGCTTGTCACATGAGTCACATGATAAATAGTCAAATGTTACTACTGGCATAAACAATAAAAAAAAAATCAGCGGGAAGTTGTAGGAGGATGATGGTTTGTTTTTCAGACAATGTGCAGCTGGCTCCCCCAGATCTCTCACAGCATCACACAGTTCATAAAAAGTTGTGTGTCATTCCAACGTGTTGAATTCATATCTCTTCTGTAAATTTGCTGACTACAATTTCCCAAAATGCTGCATGAATAGTCGCTTCCAAGTATAAGTGGCTTGTCTCTGCAATGCCCGAGTAAGACGCCAATGTTTCCTCTGATGGCTTTAGCCGTTTCTGAATTATGATTATATCTCATATAACTGTTTAGATCTGTCGCTGCCATGATTTCTAATAACTCACCGCGTGAACAAGCTTATTCTCTTGCGATTTTAACTTAATTACTTACGTAATGGAAACACCACCATTGCAATTTTCGACATTAGCTGTCAAAGATTTGCACAAAGATTTCTACTGGAAACGCAGCTAGTGTCAAGAAACCTTCTGATGGTGTGGGTCACTTTTCACCATTATACTTTGACAGAAATATATATTTTTTTCCTTGCGTGTTTCGTATTTCTTTCTGGTTCTCAGACCGGTTCCAGTAATGTCTTCCCCTCTCTATCTTTATTTATCTCACTGAAAAAAAAATGAAAACCTTGTAGCAATAATAAACTTTTGCAGTTTTTGTAGGTGCAGTGGAAAACAAGGTGGTGTCCCTGCTGCTAGTAGCCGAGCCGGAGAGCATCTTCGCCATGCCGGACCCCACGGTACCCGAGAGCGACATCAAGGCTCTGACCACGCTGTGCGACCTGGCAGACAGAGAGCTGGTGGTCAACATCGGCTGGGCCAAACATATCCCTGGTATGAATCTCCCTCTCTCTCTCTCTCTCTCTCTCTCTCTCTCGCTCGTAGTTCTCTCACACAAGCCGACACACACATTAGGTTGACTAAGTCCCTAATCAGATCAGAGAAGAGATTGTTCTGACTTGTGGCTGCCAAGACGGCCCAAAAGAGCGGGAGGAGGAGGGGGGGGGAGGTTGGCTGTCTGTTATCTGTCAGTCATCCTCTATGTGTGTGTCTGTGCATGCCAGCATGCTGTAAATTGCGTGCCATGCCCTTCCTGACCAAAGTGTTCCCACACCAACCAGATGACCAATGGCCACATGGAAGTTTTAATTTGTTTCCTGGGCCGTGGCCGCCTCCCTGTCAGGTCTGAATTACAGAAATCCTCCTGGCTCTTGGAACACACTGAGCTTGTCTTCTGTCACAGAAATAGCAGATGAGACGTGCCGAGGTTCTTTTTTTCTTTTTCTTTTTTTTCACCCCCTTTCAGCTGAAGAAGTGTGTCTGTTCTTGCTGAGTAGTTAGAATAAAATGCCTGATGTTCAGATGGGGTTTGTGTTGGGAGCGCAAGCATTTTGCCAAACTCAGAAATGGAGAAAAAAAAAGTCAAGTTTTTCATCATTTTCTGTTTGGAGAGTTTTATTGAAATTTTTTTTGCAGTTATGAGTCATCCAAAACTTTCATTTGCTCAAGATGATGAACATTTTTTTATTTTTTTTATTTTTTTTATATTGAGAAGTTGCTGTTCAGAGATGGTGCATAACAGAAAATTATGGTACTGCAAAATAAACTTAACACCAAAAACTAGCAAACACGTTTTGAGTTATGTATATGCATGCCTGATCTAACTCCCCAAAAGCTGTTCAGTTCTGTTAAATTCACAATTAAAAAAAAAAAAACATTAAACATTTTCAGTTTACTCTTGCTTTAGTTGCAGAAACTACTTGCTAGACATCTTATAGCAACACTTGCTGTTGATTTATTATCATAGTACACCTCACTGACTGTGACGACGCTCAGAGACAGTGACTCTCTCTGCTTTCCAGAAGCAGCTAAACTGTTTAAAAGTAAAGGTTTTGTAGTCATCTGAACATAAATGGTAGTATCTGCGAAGAGATGCCTGCACTGTAATTGTATCCTTTAAGTAAGAGGTAAAGTTTGATTACTTTTCGTGCTTTTCAGTGAAATTCTCATGTCAAAGGGTTTGGGATTTGGTATTTAGTACTTTGTAGGTGCAGTGAAAGGAGCAAGGGCTTGTCCCATCTAGTTTTTAACATGACTAATAATACCAGGATTTCCACCATTACCCTCTCAAGCCATTTTAAATTGCAGCTCTTACACAGTAATTTCCCTCAGGCAGGACATCTGCATTTCCCTGCACCACTTATATTAGCCACTTCAAAGGGTTCTTATAAATTAAATAAATAGTTCCCCTTTATTTCACACTAGGCTGCTAGTAAATACAGGACTTCATCAGAACAGTAAAATATTACACATAAAAGCTGCAATGCATTATTGTCATCTCATGTAGGACCACAGGGATAAAAAAAAAAAACAGTCAAAGTAATCTCATTTATTAATCATGGTGCTGGATTTTTTCTTTTTTTAAAAAAAAAATGATAACTTGCTTAATTTATAAGTTTTTGAAAAAAATAAAATAAACTTCTCAGACTCACAGACAATGCTTTTTGTTAAATGAGTTTAATTTCACCTCCAGTCCAAAACTCAAACTTTTATCTAGACATAAAAAAGTGAAATCCTACACCGTATAAGGCTTTTGCTTAAAAACACAAATTAGAACATAATTTTCTCGCTGAAATACACTTTAAAGGCTAACAGCTAGGTCAGAAAGCCAAAGGACTTCATTTAAAACTTTGGTGGAGATCCTGGATCCCGTTTAAACGTATAAGCAAATAAAAAAAAAAAGTCACCAAAACTACTTTCATGATTAGCGACATATGGTCATGCCTTGTATATTTCTGTTGGTGAAATACTGGAAAGCTTCAGAGAAGTGTTTGCACAAAGTCCTATAAGAAACTTAAATACGGGATTCTATTTTACAGCTTTTCTTGGTTAATCAGTTCTTATCATCCCCTTTTTCTCCGCTTTATCAGCAGTGCTATTCACACCCAAAACATCACCAGGGAAACACCTGGGCTCTTTGTTGATGTCTTGTCTCTGAAATGCTTACAAAACAAACAAAACAGGTGCGTGTGAGTGCTCGTATTGTTCTACTATATTTTCCCCTGCATCTTTTTTTTTTTTTTTTCCTCAAAATTTGAGAAGAGGCATTTGGCTGTTTGTTCCTCATCAGCGTTTCCATACTCTTGTTTTGGAAGAAATTCACCTCCTCCCTTTATAGATCTCCCCCCTCCCAGCGTGTTGCCGTCTGCTCCCCCAACCCCGCCCCCAGACAAATGGAGTCCGATTGACGGGTTTATATTTGTAGCCCTTTGCTGAGGGAGCGGAGCAGCGGTGAGCGGCGGCTGTAGCCACAGCAGATACCCACCAGAGGGGTAAAGGACAGGAGAAGGGAGGGACAGGAAGACATTTTACGTTCTGAAATGACACCAAAAATACACTAATCCATCAAAACCCATCAGGCATGTTTGGGGGGGAAAAAACCCTAAAAAAACTAGAAATACTTAAAGGCAAAAACAGTAAAGTTAAATGGAAACCAGTATTTTGCTCCTGGGGGGTTGATTGTATTCACAGAACATGATGGAGCCTTTACTCCGAGATGGAAAAAGTGACGACACCGTCACCGATAAACCCGTTTCTCTGTGGAACCTTCAAGAGCTTCTAAAATTAGGCAGAAATACTCTGTCGGAAAAATTCAGCGGGCAACTGTTTACGTTCTAGGAAACGTGCCTGATCATTATTTTTTCTCAGATTTGGATGAGTAAACCCAAACCAGTTTGACCAGCTGATGCTGGACAAGTCTGTTCTCTTTTTTTTTTTTTTTTTACAATGAAACTGGAGAAAGGTGATGTCCATTTAGGCAGTTAGCCTGAACCAGTCCTACCACAGGCATGGACTGGTCGAGGGTTTAAAATGTATAGTTTTCTGATTCGCTGGCTATGACAACGCCACAACACTTTTTCCTATGCTTACAAAAATTTTGGAATATTTATTTTTTTTTCCTGGAAAAACACATTGTGAAAACTGAAGGAACGTCACCTTCTGCTCTTACCTGACTGCAAGCAGTTAGCCAGACTGATTAACCACATAATAGGAATTTCTTTTATCTGTATTTCTGAGCAGAATGACAAATTAGGTCTAAATATAATTCTACGCGAAATAAGAACGTGTACTTGAGAATTACCAAATTTAGGGAGGGATATTTAAGGGTTTTTTTCCTTTAATCTATGTGTCCTAATTTTCTTTGCGTCCTCCAGTTTCAGGGTTCGTTGTTTTGGGAGGCGACTTCTCTCGATTGAGTGTGTAATTGGGGGTTATGTTGGAAACTCACGTGTCCGCCCAGTCGCTCCTTCTTGGGTCGTCCATGTGGCCGGCGTCCATTTAGGCAGAGATCCAAAACTTGCAGGACCACTGACAGTTCATTGCATGGTCATACCAGAACAGTTGGAGTCCTCACGACTTCTCAGCTTTTGGTTGCAAAACATCCCTATATACTTTAGTCGTCAGATGGACCGGCATCTTGTGGTTGGAGACCTGCCTCCATTTTGGCCATGTTGCTTTTACAAAGGAACAGGCTTCATAGAGGGTATCACTATTAACTCAAGTCTATGCATGAGATTCAGACTCAACAGTTTAATGTTATAATTGTTCTATTGATCCTATTTTAGCAGCAGAGGCCAGAATTCGAACAGGAAGAAGAAATTGTAATAGAGTTCATAATTTTAGTAAAGGCAAGAAAAACAACTTCCAAACGGTATAAACACTGCATGGGAACCGGAGTTAAAGAGAAGGAGTAAGTGGAGAGCCACATAACCTGAGAGCTTGAATTTACTGAGGAGAAATCACAAAGGAACCAGAGGAGCTAATGAGAGGGGAGTGGGCGCAGCTTGGGAACAAACAGCAGACAGGGGAGGCTGAGGCAGAGGTGAAAAATTAAGCAAAGCAATGAGAATGAAACCTGAACCTGAGCGGTAAACTGTAAGAAAAACCACTCCAAAGGAATAAATACAAACACAAAGAATGAGATTAACTAAACTGAAACAGGGGACAAACTAAGACGGCAAGAAATAGGGAAGCATACAATAAAGAAATGATCAAAACATAGACATTGATGAAACTTAAAGTCCGAACACTAATATAGATAGCAGAGTTTATGTGTGAGGAAACATCTAACTACTGTTTTGGATGAGCAAACAGGATGACATCTTCCAAACTTGATTTATTACAGTTCATTGTATAGTTATCACAATTTATATGCATATTATCCTCCTCTTTTTTGATAAATATTGTGATTACTTTTCTGATTGCAAAAGTACACAACGGTTTCAAGCCAGTTAGTCTTAAATGTGGATGAACAAAATGAACAAAAGGGGGGGAAAAAAATTGCGATGAAACAAAGAAAAGTGGTGGCAACAAGACACTCAAACACAGGGAAAAGGCTGCTTGAATAATAGTGCGGCCGGCCCTACCTAGCAGCGTAATGGCCGTGTCACATCAGCTCTGGATGAGTGGCAGGACACACAGCGGCCCCCGTTGCTGCTGGGCCCGGGGTCCTGGGCGAAGTGTCCCAGGCCATGTGAGTTCTTTGCCCAGGGGGAGGTGAGTGTGATGGGCGGGCTACTGCCCTGGCTGCACCCACTCCTCCGTGTCGCCTCCGATCAGGCAGATTGACAGTGATGTGGTGTGAAGTCTGAGGGGCAAACTGGAAGACGAGCTGGCTAAAGACCAACTGCCCTCCTTGGTTTGGGCCATTTTGAGTCTGCGACGCAGCACTGGCTGTGGAGTATGTGTGCGATTAAGGCGACTGCTGGGTGACAACTGTGTTAACATGTGGTGATATAAACTAGCTGTGCTTCTCTTTATGTGTCAAGCAAATGTTGGAGGGTATATATGACATGTTTCTGTCTGGAGGGAAAATGTTTCCTATGCAGAGTTTGGAGCAAACAAACTCATTTGTTTGGTGTCTTCAAGATTATTTCCTGGAGAACTTAAGAGTTACTTTAAATGAGCTGGTACTGGGAACTGAAATTTGAAAATGAAATTTGAAACTCTCAAAAAGGACAGAAATGGTGGGTTATTTTGGATCTTTTCACATTTATAGGCCGAATTGAACCAAAAAGCGTTTAATTTAGCTGTTTCTGTCCCGCTTTTTGACATGTCATGCCTCGTTTAAATTTATCGTGAAAACTTCTTTGCTTGGCTCATTTGTCTTTTCAACAGTTTAACTTTTATCATTCGATTTATCAATAACTTGCTTGAGATTTCATCTAGCACAGATTCACACAGGTCTCCTGATCGATGGCTCTGCTACAGAATACTGATCCCTATCGACGTATGAAATTGTGCACTGACAGCGTTTCCAATCCATCTTGGTGGGGCGGGGAGGGGGGGGGGGGGAACGGGCCGCTGGCGCCGCCGCAGGGATTTTAAAGAGCCGTGGATTCTGATAACAATCAAGGATGGTGTCAAAAATACAAACAGCCTGCCCTCCCCTCCCTTTTTCTGTAAAATCTTCTGTTTAATTACAGTAAACCTGTGTCTGTGTGAGTGTGTGTGTGTGTGTGTGTGTGTGTGTATGGAGGTATATGCGAGGTGGTAAGTGGGTTTAATAACCTCCAGCTGGATGTAATTGTCAATCAAAGTTGGCGTGTCCTGCAGGGACTCATCAAATGTGCCACAAATTCCTTCTGTCCTTCGCTATGCCCTTTACCGTGTGGCTATTTCAGAAGTAAAATTATATTGCTGCAGTTATATTTTGCATTGATAGTAATGGATATTTCACAAAAAAAAAAACAAACAAAAAAAAAAAACACTTGAGCTTTTTGTCAAACCTTTGTGCTCTTTCTTTTGTTTTTTTTTCCAGGCTTCCCCACCCTCTCCTTAGCCGACCAGATGAGCCTCCTGCAGAGCGGCTGGATGGAGATCCTGATCCTTCGGGTGGCGTTTCGCTCGCTGGTCATGGAGGACAAACTGGTTTATGCCGAGGACTACGTTATGGACGAGGAGCAGTCCAAACTGGCCGGGCTGTTTGATCTGAACAATGCAATCCTGCAGCTGGTAAAGAAGTACAAAAGCATGGGTCTGGAAAAGGAGGAGTTTGTGCTCCTCAAGGCCATCGCTCTCGCAAATTCAGGTACTACTTTTGATTTGACTCTTGAATCCCCCCAAAAAAAAATAAAAATAAAAAAAATTCTTTCACAGCTTTAACCTGATCCCTTTTTACTTTTAGACTCCATGCAAATCGAGGACTCTGAGGCAGTTCAGAGACTTCAAGACGTCCTTCACGGGGCCCTGCAGGACCACGAGGCCACGCACCACCCCGAGGACTGTCGGCGCGCCGGGAAGCTGATCATGACCCTCCCTCTTCTCCGTCAGACGGCCGCTCGCGCCGTCCAGCATTTCTGCAGCATCAAACAGGACGGCCGCGTGCCGATGCACAAACTCTTCCTCGAGCTCCTCGAGGCCAAAGCTTGAACAGGAACAGATCCGTCCGCTGCTTTGTGAGAAGAAGCGAGGCGTGTCGGTAAATAGTGGGTTCGCGACTCTTGTGTATTCGTCCATTTTAGCTCGCATCCTAATTAACGTTCTTTTCTTTCCTTGTTTTTTTTTGGAGACACAGCCCTCCTGTTTCCTATAAAAACGGCGAAATTGGTTCAAGTGTGCTAACCCGTTGACTTATGGGACAGGTGGCTTAAAAGCAGAAGAATCGCGCCTTCTTCAGATATTTACAATTGTATGCCAAACCTTATTTCTTTAAAATCATTTTAAGAAACACTTGATACTTGAAGATCCTTCTGGATTATTTTTGCTCATCTTGAAGCCTGGCTTCAGTATAATCTGATGCAGTATAATCTGCATCCTAGCAGTTTAGAGAACATTTATGATAAGAATTTTTTTTTTCTTTGTTGTAATGGTAGTTATATACTGTTAGTCTTGCCAAAGAGTAAAGACTCTTTATTATTGAGTTATACCAGCAGATGTCCATGATATTTTGATGTGGCCTATGAAATGTTCATAAGACCCTGCTCCCTCGCTTTATTGTATAGCAAAAACATCTATCTCCATTCATGCACATGCGAAGGAGGGGATTATTATTATTATTATTATTATTATTATTATTACTAGCATTAATATTTTACCAGGCATTTTCAGGGAAAGAGTACTTATCTTCACGATGCAACAGTACTACAGCAAAGCGATATTTATTTATTTGTGGCTCTGTTCTGTTTCTTTTATTTTACAAATGGGGCTGTTGCAGCTAGAGGATAATTTTTTAAGATTTGTAGCTAATATTATTGTGAGATAATTTTTTACTAGCTTCTCTGCTGCAGCACTGGTAACTGACACCATATCATGATATTACCATTGAAGTGCAGTCTGTGCATAATATCGTAGCGTTGTGCAGAACAGTAATATGATTTCGTGTAAAACAAACAAACAAACAAAAAAAAGGCTGCCATAATGTATAGTTCACTTCAAAGGTTTACACGCTGTGTTAACTTCGGACCTTTAATGATTCATATGAACTGTTTTTAATGAACTGGGTGGATGCTCAATATTTCTTAGTTATTTAAAATCTGGAAGAATTTTGAATTTCTGGAGGACTTTATCTGATCCATAAAGGCCTAATTATATGCATAGCCTCTAACAACGTTGCTAACTGTTTCTTAGGAAATCGCACAACATACATTTTCAACAGGGGCGAGAAAAGGAACATTACAGACGCTTCATATTAACCCGCTTTATTTAAACTGTAAAGCCAGTTTAAATGTGTGGGGACGTCCAACTGTGTCCAAGTTTCAACCATCTAGCTGTTGCTTTGTCACCTTTGCCGTTGTCCCGTTTACTGTACGAGTACGAATGACTGCAAAACATCTCCGCGGCACCACAGCCACCACGCTTTACAGATGTTCATAGAGTTAAAAGCCTTACCTTGACTCATCCAAACTAACCTTTTGCCACTGACCAAATAGTGTGATCTTTGTCTCAAATGATTGTCCAGGAAGAATAAGAAGAAGAAGAGGAATTTTGACTGTATATTTGGTGTTGATTTGGTAGGGGGTTCTTCTTTTATCCATTCAATCCATGTTGATGTTAAATCGGCTTCACTAGATAGCGACGCTAATGTTTTGCAGTCTTCCAGTGGGGGGAAAAACAAAAAAAAAAAAAACAACAGTTCACATGCATCTTTAAAGGACCAAACTTACCGTCATACACCAGAAAAGTTTCTGTAAACTTCTGACCAGAACTGTAGATCTGTAATTAGGGAAGCGAGAAGTTGATGTCTTTTCTATAGTAGCAGTCTGTGTGTAGGATCAAACGTGTGCACTGATTTCATTTTAGCCATAATGTTTGGGGAACCCGGTGGTGGCGCTCTGTTAATCTGCTAGCGTGTGTTTGTTATGTGGAGAGTCTCTGAGATTTGTCTCCCCGCCACACATCTCGAACGAGGAGTGTGTGGTTGGGGGAGAGGGGTGAGGGAGTAGGGGAGGGGGGCGACCTTTCAGATTTAGGGTCAAACGGCACCGATGTGGTCGGTTTCAATTGTTTGTCATGTAAGATTTGCTGTATGTACATCATGTCTTATGCCAACAGCGGGGGTTTTACAGATGTGAGCGGATTCTTCTCTCCCCTGCCAGGAGCTGAGCAGTGCTGTTTCATTCTCAGGTGGATTCTTGGGCAATAAAGACGATCCCCTTAATGCAAAGCTCATAATATCTGAGTGTCTTCTTCCTCAATAAAAGCGAAGGGAATTCATTAAGAGCCGGTAAGTGGGCGCAGTCTATTCTGCCTCAGCCTGACAATGAACTCTTATTTCCATGTTCGGCCCATTATGTCACATTTAGGCCATCCGAGCCCAGTTGGATGAAGATTTATAATTAACAGCGGTAATGTAATGAAGTCGAAAAGTGGGCCCAAAGAGAGAGAGAGAGAGAGAGAGAAAGAGATGTCTGTATTGAGCTCCACATCGCACTCATTGCCTTGTCATGTAGAGATCCTGAGGAGGAAAAAAAAAAAAAAAACATCTCTTAGCTTCTGATTTTTGCAGAAATATTGTTTAAAAGCTGCTAAGATGAGAGCAGGTCAGCTAAACCTTAAACCAGTGTCCGAAGGCAGTCCATGAGTGTTGGTATCTGGCGTCCTCTGGTCCAACACAGTCGAATTGAACGATGCTTCTCCAGCAGGCCTCTGCAGAACAATATGACATGCTGAGAAGGTAGATGGACCATTTGCATCGGCCATGTTGGAGCAGAGGGGCATCTAAAAACGGCACGACTTGAGGACCAGACACTCCTGCTTTAAAACAATGAAGATGGATGAAGTGACCCAAGCCGATCCAAATCAAACTGAACCCTCACCCACCACCCGTTTCCGCCAGCTGAATTTATCTTTCCCCAAAACGTCGTCGAATGCGCAGGGTGGGGGGGGGGGGACGTTCAGGGGACAAGCTGGAGAATTTTCACCACATCAGCTGTCAGTAAGTGAGTTAGCCATCTTGAGTGATGTATTCCCGTATGTCCCTGTGTGTAAATGGGTTAGTATGTGTCGGAGCGGCCGTGTCGCCCAGACACCTCCGCTGATGGATGAGGCCTCCCAAGGAGATGGGCTGTAAAAAAAAAAAGGCTGATTCTGGCACTCAAGGGTGAGATCACATCCTCAATAAAAAGGCATTGTCCCGAATCATCACAGCAAGGTATGAATGCTGATTAGGGTATTAAGCGGAGAATAGCTGCTCTGTGAAAATAAATCAAATGAGGTGAGGGTTTATTTGGGAGGGATTTGAAACGGAGCAGCGATGGTTGGGCTACAGGCTCAAGGAGCCTAAAATAATCTATTTAACTGTCTATGGCTTCCTTGTTTTGCTGTTCTACAAGTCTTCCTTTTACAAACATACTACTTGGTCTGGAATTTGATTCTAAGCATTTCCCACTTTTCGGAAATGTGTAGAATTTATTCATCATCGCCGTCCATCCATCCAGACATACATCCATCTAAACAAGTTCATTTATCTTCAGGACGTATAGAACTCTGTTCTTTAAAATGATTATGCATACAATATATACAATTATACTGTACATTTGACGAGAGTTTATTGCTGCTTGAACAGATATTTGGTCTCAATATGAAGTTTAAAATATGTTGCATTGGATCAAAACAAAATAGGAAGTGGGATTTTTATATTATTATTATTATTATTATTATTTATTATTATTTTATTATTATTATTATTTTATTTTACCCCAATGGGAATGTTTTTTACTTTACATTCCCCTTGGGGAACAGAATTTTTTTTTAAGTCTGCTAAAAGGACCAAGTCGTGTTTTGGGAAAAAAAAAAAAAAAATGTTGTGCATTAAGAAGAATTCAGGAGTTGCAAGAATTCAATCCTGCATCTCCTCCACAGTTGAAGAATCTCCCAGATCTGCACTTGGACCAGGGAAACACGTAATTTGTAGAACACAACGTCCGTCTGAAAAAGAAGAATGAATCAAGGTTTGGAATGAGCTTGAATTTAGGTCTCAAGTAGGAATAGTAAAAAAAATAAAAATAAAAAAACCCCAAAAAAAACTAAGAAAAGAAAGTTAAACATTCAGCTGGCAGGAACCATTTTTGGGAACAATTTTTGGGAGGAAATTGTAGAGATTATATAATTTAAGACCAAGGACTGTTTGCGTCAAAACATTATGACTATCCCAGGGGGTTCTCCGTCTTCATAGCTGGTTACGGCTGCAGAGCGTGCTAACCTGTATGAAGACATCATGCAGCTGCTTTCAGCTTCCTTTGGACAGTGACTCCATGCATTCAGCTGAGCCTGAATGCATCCAGTAGCTGCTGCGTGCTGCCATCATGTGGTTTGACAGCATACTACAGGAGACACCATATTGACCAATGGGTTCATGTTATTCTCCCGACATGTTAGGAGCTAATATTGACTGAGAACACTAATACTGGACATTTAAAAAAAATTATACCCTACTCATTAATGCAAGTTTTTTCCCCAGCATGAAACAAATAAAGCAGGACTTTGCAAATTTTTCAAAAGAAGGAAAAAAAAAGTGTAATTAAAAGTTTACATAAGATGCAGACTTTTTTTTTTTTTTTGGAAATACCTGCAACATCAATTTTCATTCACACGAACTTGGTGATTAATTTAAACATACTAATATGTAATTTCATAAGAACAGACAGACACATGAATAGTGTATAAGAGCTGAAAGGTAGGTAAGCTGAAAGCCGACACCCGGCTTGTTACCATGGCACCTGCCGAGGAAAAGCCGAGGCTGATGGGAGCCCTAGAGGCACTCAGGAACACGAATGCTGTCGGTTCGAAGCTCTTTGACTCTTGACCCTGTCTGGGAATTAATCGGTCCTGGGTAGGGAATGACCACAGCGAAATTTCTGTCACATTTTGACTACATAATGTCGAAAGGAAAAGGTCAAGGCGGGGTTACAGGTGAGATCCTAAACCCTGTGTAGGTCTGTGTGCCTTGCGATTGATGTCACACAGCGAAGGGCCGCCATCTTCCCCAAAAACAGGCCGAACCACGGACCTCAGCTCCGGTGAGTCCGACGCCATCGACACAAAGCTTCTGCGTCTAACACCTTCTACTGAACAAACTTAGAGTTTCACAAAAGGTTTCCCGAGTAAATAAGATAAAAGTGACCATGTGCGCACCGTCGTGGCATTTTTTGGGATGCCTGAACTAGGCCGTGCAGGTAAGCATGTCTCCAGTTACAAAGTTATCTCTCCGTCGGTGCACAACGTGATCATCTTTCATTCACACTGTGTTGATTTCAGATCTACAAGTTCTTTATTTTTTTTTTTCCTTCAGAAAATTATGCTTAAAATTATACAACTTTAAATATGATCCACATGACAGACAAGTTTGAATTTTTTTTTTTAACATTTTATTTTAGGTGGTTTCTTGTAAAAAAAAAAAAAAGAAAAAAAAAAAAGACACGGCCTAAGAAGATATGTTACCAGAAAAAAATGTTACCAGAAAAAAATGTTGGCAATTTGTTAATACAAAGCAAACGCAGTAGTTCTCCAATGGTGACAATAAATGCAGGGTTTTTTTAATGGTTTTGTCATTTTTAAGTGTTATTATATATTTTTTTTATATCCAACGTTATGACTTCTTAATCCACTTTACCATGTGTTTAAGTTGAACATCTGACAGTTAAATACTTGTCTAACATTTACTCATCGATTTGTAAATCTTTGAGTTATCTTCACAAAATTCTCTCTACGTTTAGTGCTCTCATAATCGACAAACCTTTAAAAAAAAGCTGCTCAGTAAAAATAAGCTTATCAGAACGTTGTTTCCTCCAGATTCACCGAGCCCCACTCCTCCTGGAGGAGGCGGCGGCGGCGTTGCCGGGGGTGAC